CCTTATAACAATCTAATTTGTTTTTCTTGAACTTATCTAACTTATTACTAATGTAAACACGTGAAATACATAGAAAAATAAGTAAACCAAACATGCCTTTAATTCAAGATATCATATACTTCGTATATCGTTTTCTTAACTATATAAACTAGCTAGAACATCGCCTTGATAATACTTTGTATAGATCGAAATACAACTTCTTCACACTTTTCTTTTCGACCAATGTCAACAAAAAATTATATTCACATTGGGGGAGGGGGGGGGGGTTATTATTATTTTTAATAACATTTCTAGTTTGAGTTAAAGGCAAAAAAATGTGTTTTCCTCTCGATCTCTAATCACTTTTAAGAAGTTTTTCCTACATTTATTGTTTTATTACTTATCTAGTTATCTTTAATCTTTGCGCTAATTCCACTTACTATTTGTTCAAATTGTTGATGATGACTAGGAGAAAAATATTCTTTGGGGTCGCCAATTAGTCAAATGAATGTAGAAAAACACCATTTTTGAGATTATTAATAGTGCTTACCAAAAGTGAAATAAACAGTGAAATTGCTAATTTAGATTATGAAAATAGGCAAATCTTTTTATCATCATCTAAGCACTTTGTTGTCCACTAAGACAAACCGTAACAAATTTAGAATTCAATTTAACTCAAAGACAATTAAAGGGGACCATTAAAAATTATAACCACTTGAATTCTTTGCTTCTTTAATTTAAACCCTTAATTAGTTCTTGGTCAGTTGGTCTCTAACGTACCAATAATTATCACCAACATCTCGTCATCGCCCCCACATAATTGATTAGCTCCAAAATTTGTGGGTCTTAATTGGATATTAATAAAAATTAGTGTTAGGTAACTCTAATTCTTCTTCTAGTTTCATCATCATCCATTGTATTCGCCAATTATAAAATAATTAATGATTTTTCTTAGATATATTCAATAATTATCATTCATCAAAAATATTCTCATTTGTTCTTAACATCTAATCGATAGTACGTATCCGTGATAATATATACTACGGAATACTGCAAGTAATATTTAATTAAAAACTTTTTATGGGTAGTTAGAAAAACAAACCTTGCCTTGCGGTTTTGAAATTGGTATGGTATGATTCTTGATGACTTTACAAACTTAATGGTAAAAATAATTTACTTGGTATAATATAAAGTTTTTATTCTTTAATTTATATTTTTTTTTCCGGCAGTGGTGTTAGTTACTTGTTGGGTTGTTAGTGGATTAATGGACCACCAGTTTTATTCTTTCTTCTTTTTCTAGTGCAAGTTTTGTTTAAATTTATATTGTAACTTTAATTTAAGTTAATCACTTTTTTTTTTCTTTTTAATTTTTTGAATGTGGACAAAAGAGATCTTTTTAAAAAAAAAAGTAAAAACTTGAAATACAAAGGAGGGAAGAAGGTAGGAAAACGAAGGAGTTTCCGTTAAAGTAGCCGAAATTGGCGGGAGTCAAATATACGATACGGAGACACGTCGTCACACGTGCGAAAGTTGTACATTAAATTGTACGAAAACACGTAGGAAACTACGAGTATAGTTAATACGAGTACACTGTCTGTCAGTGAGTGAGTGTGAATGTGTGAGTGTACACCAGTTCACTACCTACTGTCAAAATAGTCAAAGGGTATTCTTGTCTTTTTACAAAGGGTAAAAATATTAGGAGTACGTATAATCTTGAAACTCGAGTACTCGTATTTAGTACATTACAAAATTATACCTTGAAACATTTAAGGTTTAAGATTTGATGCTATTCATTCCCTCGAATCTTTTTTTGATGCTATTCAAGAATCAAGATTATGGGACTATGGAGTTTGAGTGAAGAAGTTAATTTGTTTCAAGTACAATTATGTTCTTGAAATGTGGTTTTTGTAGTCTTTGTACATACTTCAAAGAAGATTATCTAGGATTTTTACTTGAATGAAGTTAATAGACTTAATATCTTCTCACAAGTTTCGTTATTCTCTAAAAATACTCATTTGAAGTAGCTATTTGTTAACAACTATTTCATTCACCAGACACTTTTACCTAAATAACTAATACAAACAGTTAATCAAACCATATCGTTGCCAAACAAAGCCTAAGCCATGTTCAGTATTTTTTGACCAAATAGGAGGGGCTAACAAGTAACAACCTTTGTTGCTTGGTTTCAACGAGATTAATTTGTTTAACTCTTTGATATTTCTAAAAAAATTAAATTGAAGCTTTTATTTTAAGTTCAAATTTATTATCTTACGGAGTATTTGTTACTTCGTATTTCACATATTCAAGTAATAAAAACAAAAAAAATTCAAGTTAAACAAAACAACTTCGAGTTATTAGTTAATTTTATCACACTTTTGTAAGAAGAACTAGTTTATATTACAACCAATTCGCCAAAACATTTAATACAATCCACTCTAGTTAGTCAAATCAGCTACTCAGGCTACTCCCTATTATAATTAGCTACCAAATACTTTAGATCATGAGTGAACAGACAACAACATGAAACAATGAGTAACTAATTGACAAATTAGTAATTTGTCATAATCAGTTGCATGGATTACTTAACCTTTTTTGATTTGTTTTATTTATACAGTGTCAATTTGGAGTAGTGGGCGAATTTGTTATTGTATGAATCAATAAGGTGGAGGGTACAGTCACAGGAGAGGCTATATAACATATAGTTATAGGCTTATCGTTAGTGATTAATCTATTTATTCATGTTTGGTGACTACCACAAGTTGTTAGCTAAAGCCAATTAAGCATGATGTATAATATGATTACTATCCACTTCATTAATCTTATATTCTTGCTTCAATATGTATTTACTAATCAAACTTATTATTAATTACCTATAACATCATGCGCCGTGAAGTGAAAAAACGCTCTAAAATACATTTCATCATAATCTAAATATATGAAAGGTAATGTAACAAAAGTCTGACTTATACTAGCTCCGTTTTTTATTATGTGCAACAAAATTAAAGGGTATTATTTGTGAAACATAAAATATTCATTTGTTGCACATAATAAAAAACGGAGATAGTACAATGTATCAAATCAGGACCGTTCTACAAAACAAACATGATTGTTACACGTGTATATTACTAGTTTACTACTACTACTCAGTTCTTTTAAGTGTGCTCCATTTGACTTTTTAACCGCCTGTAACAGCTCATTACGATCATTCCGTATTTGACAAAAGTGAAAAAACAGATGGATTTTCACCCTTGCTGCGCTGCCATGCAAGATAAGGTTCACCTATCATTTATTCTTGTCACGACCGAACAGTATGTACTAAATGTTATTCATATATATATACTGATCTACAGTAAATGTAATGCATGTCATCTGACAATGTAATATATTATCTAAAATGCATTATTGTTTTACTACTAGGACTGTTTTTTCACATTTTACTAAAACGTTAAAAAAATGATTATATTAAAGCAAAGATTTAAGATTTTAATGAAAGACCTAACTTTAAAAGACGAAAAAATAAAGATGGAAGCAAGTAGCTAGCTCAGAGCGAGCTCTTATTTTGATATCGATAATTATATAACATCAATCAATAATTAATAAACTCTAACCATATAAATTAATTTATCATATATATACATGCCCTACTCATTTATAGTCCGTACTAGTCCCTACAATTAACCCTACACCCTTTAATGAGCTATTCCATCTAGCTACCCCCTTCTGCATAGCCATGAATTTTCTCATCAAGAATGTAAACTCTAGATTTTAGTATCATTTTAAGCTTAACCTAACTAATTCAAAGTATGAAGTAATAAATATGTGAATAAAACATTATCATTGCAAATAGGGGTTAATAATCAGTGGCGGATTTAGGATTTTCGAGATGGTGAGTCACCATCATTTATTGATCACATAAAATTCGGGTGTAGTTCATAATTGTTTTCAATCCAAAAATTATATTACAACCAAATTGATTTCAATCCAAAAAATAGGACACAAAAATTCATAATACAACCAGATAGTATTTAAAAAATCCATCTTACAAGCTGAATTTACTACAAATAACTTCTAACAAACAAATAGTACCCATCTATTACTTTTAATAGTAGCCAAAAAAAAGAAAGTACAATGACCTTAGAGACCAGTTGTTTAATATAATAGGTCTCTTTGACCCATTAAAAAAATGACCTTAGAGACCGATTGTTTAAATAATCGGTCTGTTTTAATTACAAAAATAAAGCAGCGAGAATAAAGCGGGATTGAACACTTCATTATTACTACTTGCATCTAAGAGACCTATTATTTATAATAACGGGTCTCTTTGATAGAATTTATTATTAATTTTTTTTTTCAAATTTCAACTTTTTTTTTTGTTTGTTTTGAGGCTGGTGATGCACGTGAACCAGTGTGCACTAATGTAGCTCCGCTCCTGTTGATAACTAAGCTAGGCTCACATGTTACATGTAAAAAGTGATTGTATAATCATCTTGTAATGACTATCCTAAGTTCTAATTACGAGTAACAATGCGAATAGGCCACGACTTTGATCCCTACCATTCGCCCAATTATATAAGTCAAAGCTTAAGAGTAGAGGGAGAACACAAGGAATCCTCTACCCCCAAGTCCCAAGCATATATGTTGATGGTATGGTTACACGCTTCATGTCACAGGGGTGAGGCGAGGTTTACTCTCCACCGAACATGCTTGGTTAGATGGTTTAAGTACGGTAATTTCAGAACTGTTTACTACTCGTATACGAGTAGTTAAAATGTGAAAATAAAAACAATGGAGAAAGAAAATGTACATGTGGAAGAAAAAGGGATAAAAGGAAGAAACACGCAAGAAGGTGCCAACAAGACAACGACACCAAACTCAGTTAGTCAACAGTGCTAATTTGATAAACCCCATAACATACTTTCACCTACTACTACAGTACTACCTTCATACACCAAAATTTTTAATCTAATCGAATTTGTACACCACTAAAAACAAAAACAAACAAAACTAAAATTAAATTAAATTAAAAATTACCCCCCTAATTAATTCAATTAATTAATAAAAAAAATAGAATAAAAACGCACGTCTATCATCAATGGAATATGACTCTCCTGTTCCTAGCAGTCCTCCACAATACTAAGTCCTCGTAGTATATATAAACACCCAACTATGTGACTCTATTTATTATTATTACTCTCCAATTTCTTCCACCACCACCATTTTTCGTGACCTTCACTCAGTTATTCTCTTTCTACTTTCTCTCTCTTCTTACTTTTTCTCTCTCCTCTGAGAAAAAACTATCAAACTTCCATGGAAATGGAGATCAGTAAGATGACAATGGAGATATTCTCCAAGCTCGAGCAGCAATGGCTTTCAAGTAATAACAGCAACAACGGCGGAACCGCGAAGAAAGCGAGGATACTCAGCATCGACGGCGGAGGAACCTCCGCCGTCGTTGCGATTGCCTTCTTAGTTCATTTGGAGGAGGTGATTCGTTTGAAAACAGGTAATCATGATTCACGAATTGCTGATTTTTTCGATATTGTTGCCGGAACTGGAATCGGCGGCCTTCTCGCGGCGTTTCTCACGGCGGCGGATTCTACCGGTCGTCCGATGTTTACGGCGAAGGATGCGGCGAAATTCCTCGTCGGAAATTTCTCGGCGATGTTTAAGCCGAAGCGCGGCGGAGTTCTCCGTCGCCGGAAGTCTCGCCGATGCTCCGGTGAAAGTCTCGAGAAGGTTCTAAAAGGAGTTTTCTCGAAGAATGGGAAGAAAACTCCGATGACGCTGAAGGACACTTGTAAGCCGATCCTTATTCCGTGTTACGACCTCAACACATCTGCGCCGTTCGTTTTTTCACGCGCTGCTGCTAGCGCGTCGGAGTTTACGTCACTTGACTTCGAGCTTTGGAAAGTGTGTCGCGCTGCAATGGCGACGCCGTCGGTGTTTGAGCCGTTTGAGTTAACGTCCGTTGACGGTAAAACGGCGTGTTACGGCGTTGACGGTGGTTTAGTGATGAATAATCCGACGGCTGCTGCCGTTACTCATGTTCTGCATAATAAGGTTGATTTTCCGTCGGTAAACGGCGTTGAAGATTTACTGGTGTTGTCTTTAGGTAACGGAACGTTGAGTAGTAGTGGAAAATTAACCGTGAGCAGTAAAAATGGGGAATGTTCAACTGATTCTGTTGTTAATATTGCTGTTGACGGTGTTTCCGAGACAATCGATCAAATGCTAGGCAACGCGTTCTGTTGGAATCGTAACGATTACGTTCGTATTCAGGTAATTTCTTCGTTTAATTTTAAGTCAAACTCGTGATTATTAAAACTTTAGCAATTTTAAATTAGGACTATTTGTTCGTTGTTGCGAGTAGATTACCCGTTAGAAATCGACATCAACGAATATGAATGATGATTAGAGGTATGAAATGATCGTAGTAGTAGTAGTAATGTATGATGAAGCATGGAGTAATAAATTTTGGATGGGACAACAATTTATATTAGAGACCGACGAAGGTCGACAACTTCGTCAACTATGTTGTATGTGTAATAATTGTGCAGTCGCATAATTCACGGATTTTATGTTTAAAATAATCTTGCCGACACTTTTGCTAGAGAAGGAAAAAAGAGAAATAGAAAAGGCAAAATGATATTTCAAGATTGTACTTAATTTTTTTTAGCACATTGTTTTTATCCTGTTGAGTCACAAGCAGTATGCGTTAAACATTTTTTTGGATATGAAAAATACACAAGAATTTAGGATAGTTGGTACTTGGTAGTGTAACCAAACTTATTCATGTTAGTAAATTACTCCTAAGAAAATTTACTATCTCGAAAAGTAATCGATATTATCTAGATGTGCTTGAATGAATGTGGTGAATAAGACGTGCTTGGAGAATGTAATTATGTTGTTTTACTAGATAAATGGATGTAGATTAATAATGTATTGTGCGCATTTTACTAGTAATGCATTGGTACTAATGTCGGCATTGTATGTATGTACAGGCAAACGGACTTGGAGGATTAGAACCAACGACGATGGAGGAAGTGTTGAAGGAGAAGGGTGTGGAATCGCTAACATTTGGTGGGAAACGCATGTTGGCAGAGTCGAACGGGGAGAGAATCGAGGCGTTCGCACAACGCCTCGTAGCTGCATCAGGAAAGAGCAGTCTGCCACCTAGTCCATACAAATCTCTGAGTCCTATGCTTGATGGGCGTTAATTAAGGCGTTAATCACATTTTGTCTGGTCGAAGTACCTGTCATTAGTTAGTAGTGTTTTTTGTGCCCCGTTAATGGTGGTGTAGAATATAGAAATGCAGTTTGTAAGATTGGAACCTACCTCAGGTTTAAGTAACCTGCTACTAACTCTTTGTGTATGCCAACGTAGGTGTGTGAAATCTATGACTATATAATACTCTCTAAATAGAGCTTCTCTTTCTCTAAGCTCTATCTGACTATGTAATTTATATTTCTTTGTTTTTGTAATCCAAGTGAGAAAAATATAGGGTCGATAAGATCCAGATTAGTAACTGATTACTCTCGTGTCTTTCCCACGTGTTTCAGCTGATTAAATTAGTCAGATCACGTAAAATGTGGATTGATTCAGGGATTAATAAACCCTAAATTATTTTAGTTAGTTTCAGTGATTAGAGATTCCGACTTCACAGTTCACAGCTCAGGTGTTACTGTGTAAGTAAACAAACAATAAAAAGCTTGATGAAGACGGTCAGAATCAAATCGCCGCGCTTATTTAATTTTAAGTAAGATTTAGTCTAGGTTTAATTATATAACAACTTGCAAAAGCTCAAGTTGTTGGATTAATTAAGCCCCGTTAATTACGAGAAAATTGGAATCTAAATATGTAAAAAGAAGATTTGAGAGTTTAAGCTTTTTTCTGTAGTTACTAAAGCAGTAAAGTGGGAATCTTGTAGATGGGTAGTACTAATAGTACTAGTGCAGTAGTACTTAATGTCAAAATATCACATTTTGTCAGTTAATGTCTGAAAATTGCTCCACGCCGAAATGTCTCCTTTTGACTTGATTAACTTTTCCGTGAATATGCAGTCTAAATTGATAAGAGTGTTTCTAACTTTCAACATGTACTCATGACCAGATACTCTAAAAGACGATACCGTGTCCGAAAAGAGACTACATCTGAACCTCCTCAAACCCGACTGATCGCAAAAGAGCACGAGCATGATCGAACCTATATTAGAACCTCCTTAGACACGACTATTAGTACGAGAACGAGCATTATCAAGTTATAATATGATGTAACACAGAGAATACAGCTCTAAGTACAAATTGGCACACACAAAGTATTAGCTAAACTGATAAGAGAGCCGTGGGCATTATCGAACCTAGAATTGAACCTACTCAGACACAACAACAGGCAGTATCGAATCTATATTGGTCTGTAGCACAAATAACATAGCTCTAAGTATGGTATGACACAGAAAATGTTTTAGCTAACATGAAAGGAGAAGGGAAAGGGTTACTTTAATGTGAATATGGCAGATAAAGTGAAAATGTGAAGGTACACAGATAATTTTGTAAGGTCAGATTGGATCTTCATATTCAAACAAACACGAATATATCATACATCAGATTCTCAAGATCTGAGAATACAAAAGCAACATGGAAACTTAATTATAGATCTGAATTAGCTTAGCCATGGGAATCAGAAGCTTCAATAAAATTTCGCAACTTAAGTACTACTTCTATTAATTAGCAGGACAAAAACACATGTAACTTGTGGGAGCAGATGTTAATGCTGCTGGGACATAATAAAAAGAAGATATTTGTCTTTCACAAAATTCAACACCCCTCCGTCGGTTCTGAGTTTTAATCGTCATATTGTCCCAATCTCAATTTATTTTTTGTTACACTGTTTCACTAAAATAACCTACTGTATTACGTTGATAATCTCTTCCATGTCCTGTATCCGCCACTCCATTATAGTAGGGATACGTTTGAAAATCCAATCATAAAATCTTTCTATGTGATATACTACGTATCCACTTATTGTATGTGACTATTATTTCCACACGGAAAGTTCTAATATGGAGAAAAAAATCAATCTCTGATTTAAGATTTGACAGGATTTGGTGTACCACAATGAATTGATTTGAATCTGATGAGGGACCAACAATGCATCACCAAATAAAATTCCCAGATATTTCATTATAAGCTGAAAAGGAGGTGGGGAACAAAATTTTTAAGCCGGGTACATGAGTTACTCAATCAAGTACACCGACAGCTTGAATCGAACAAAATCAAATAGAATGATCATCTAAAAAAAATACCTGGAGCTAAATTCAATTCAAAGCTTTACTAATTTTACAGAGGAAATAACTATAGGAACAATGAACGAACTTATGAAACCTACAGGGAGTCTGGGACATTCATGCTTTCTTAATCCTGGAAGTTTCTGGTCGGAGGAGAGGCTTATGGGATCACTAAAGGAGAAGATTTTCGATAAACCATAATATTATACAGCATGTTCGTTTAAACTCCATAAAGATGATTTCCTAACAGCGTCAATGACATTTAGGAGTTTCAGAGGAATGTCATCCATTCTATTATCAAGGATGGAATTAATCAGAAGTACATTTGATCCCTATCAGAGCTGAGAGTAAACCTAGTGGAATCAAATATCCTATCTTAAACCGACAATGAGGGAGATTCCCTAATTAGGAGGGCTGTCCCCATACCGCCTTTGTAACCTATCTTAACATCCTGAAAATGGGGATAAACTTAACAACATATTTCAGCAACATTTAGCTCTTAGCTACCAGAAGTCCTTGTTTAAATTTAAACTAAGAAAGTTTGAGCTACCTCAATGAAGAAATAATTGTTATATAATAATAATGTAATTTAATCTAGTACTGCAACAAAAAGTTCAAGCTAACATACAAACACAATACTAGTTAAAAATAATATCCAACCATGGCAATCTTTACTGCTATGATTCCACAAAACTGCCATTAAACACTGGTTAAAACTCGTTAGAATTCACCCAACCCTCTCTGTACATAAATACCTTGAGTCGCTACAAGAACCAAAAAAAAAAAAAAAAATATCTTCACATTCTGTCCTCATAATGCCTAATGAGAATAATCTTTCTAGACTTTGCTATGTATGACTTTCTTTACGAAGTATTTATTGACAATTTGACATCCAGAAAAAATCTTAACAAACATTAAATCATACGAAGTAATATACAGTAATTATAATCACATAGAAAATCATTTACTTTTCAGACCCTGAAATTTAATAATTAAAATTGACAATTTGTCACATCGCTTGACATGAGCCACAATGATTGAGATTAGTACTAGGATGGGTGACCTCGTAGGAAGTCCTTATGTTGGTTCATGTAGCCGACCCCACTAATGGGATTAAGGCGTTCAAGAAGAAGAAGAAGAAGAAGAAAATCATTTACTTTTCAGACCCTGGCATGCCAACTGCATTGCATGTCAATTTGTAAAAATAACATAGATAATCACCTTAGGCTTAGAAGTGCGATTTCCTGTAAAAAAAAACTTTCTTTTATTGTCCAAAAGTACTGATTAATTATATTCTCTAGCCAAGAAAAACAAAACCTTCAACTTAGGACATTGATCAGATTTTGATCTAAATAAGTTGCGGTGGTCCATATCTGATCATTAACATATACAGACATGAAAAAAAAAAAATAGTGATCCTCTCAACGATATCTTGATGATGATAGCATAGCAAGAAAGTATCCTGTATCAGGAAGGGGTACAAGAATTCATGATCTGTAAATGAAATCAAACTTCACTATTGGCGCCACTGGTATTGTTTCTCATAAATAATCAAATCCATTCATTATTGTGTTCATGAACAGATTGGCACAAAAGAACAAAACCCCCCAATAACTCACCCAGACAATAATGGGAGCATCAACAACCTCACAGCTGCCAACAGCTACTGAATAGCAATTTTCGCAGCAACCAATTTTCAGAATTTGAATACTTCAACTTAACCCGACTTATTATACAGGACTTGCCATAAAAAACATTATCCTGGTCCAAAGGCAACTGGCCGAACAGGAAGCCATTCAGGAAATATTGCAACCAACATTTTTAAAACACGGATGAGGCAGCATATTCTGACATATTAAAAAAAGTATCAAGCAAAGAAGATCGAAGTAGACTTGTGAATGACATTAAAACAAGAGAGCAACATTTCTAGGGATCATCTTTTTTTTTTTTTTTTTTTTTTTTTTTTTTTTGGTTGTTTTAAAAAAAAAAAAAAAAAAAAAAAAGTTGAGCTAGAAAAGCCATGTTTTGTTCCTCCCAAAATTCTATTAGTATATTAGTCTCCAACTCTTGCTCATAAGCAAAATAATACAACAGGTCAACAGCAGCCCACACCCCCAAAAAATAAAAAGGAAATGAACCCATTCTTTAGATTCACAGACAAATTGAGTGCATGATAGTTCCAAAAATCACCAAACCCCTCTTGGAGTCTCCTTTAGTATAAAACTACATGCAGTCCAGATTTTGGGGATTTTCTACTCATTTAAAAATTAAGTTTCAGCACATGCTGACACAATTTTATAGCTTCAAGGTAGATCACACTAAATACCTGGTGTGGACAACTTGCAGCAAGTAACAGCCATCATCCAATATGTAATACATAAGCTCTCCTAGGATTTGGGTACGGTTACGCTAAGAATCTTGACATCTTGGTATGGCTTGTCGTCTCTGTCAGTCTTCACTTTTTCTATGGCCTGTGTGAAAGTAAGAAATAAAATGACAGTTAGGCTAACAATATAACTGAAATTCCAGAAAATATCAAAACTAACAATGTGTGATCAAACATATAGCAGCTTAGGAAATTTCAAAAAGTGTCCTATCATACCTGTACAACGTCCATTCCCTTGACAACTCTACCAAAAACTGTATGTTTGTTATCAAGCCACGGAGTAGCTACCGTGGTTATGAAAAATTGTGAACCATTAGAATTAGGACCAGCATTTGCCATAGAAACAGTGAAGGGCCTGTCATGCCGCAAACTGTACACCAGATACAAATGACAGATAATGTTAATGATAGGATACTAATAGCATTCAATAACAAGAGAAACATTTGTAAATGAACAAAAGCTTGCACCCTGCATCCATAATACATAATGTTGAATGAAATTCGTATCGATGATAACAAAAAGTTACATATGAGAGTCCTATTTTCAGAATCAATACCCATCAAAACACAGATAAACACACATCCAGGCGTGCAAGCACATAGAGCAACAACTTCATATATTAAACAAAAATATTGCATTGAGTACCTCTGTTTCAAATTACCTAAAGCCAATTCCTTTGTTTCATAATACCAATTGCAACATTAAAACACCTTAAAATAACACAGCAACAACTATCAAATCTTTTATCTGTGTGCATTAACTTTAAACAAGAGGGCAGCACATCGACAGACAGTTACGAGATTGCGATTACAGAGTGAAGTGCCTTCAAATAGACTACGGCATGTTCAAGGAATTAGCTCCAAAGAGTCTAAGACAAGGTTCATCAAGAAGAGTCATAAGCTAGCCTTTTGTCCTTCCTTCTTTTCTATTGGGTGGGAGGCTGGTACGCATAAGATATTTGCCAAGCAAATTTGTTTCAAAAATCAACTCTTAAACTACAGGTTTCACTTATGAATAATTTTCCAGATTAATTAGAAAAATATGATGATTGAATTTAGTAGGTGGCCATACTCCATATACATGAGAAGTGAGAAATAAGAACTGGAATTCAGATAGTCTAAGAAACCAGCAGTTGGCATAAGAGATGTCACCTTTTGTGAAATTCATCCTCAAATTCCCTTCCCCAAATTGATTGCCCACCAGTTCCATCTCCAAGTGGATCTCCTGTCTGAACCATGAAACCTTTAATGACACGATGGAAAATCAGATTATCATAATATCCATTCCGACAATGCGTGGTAAAGTTTTCCACAGTTTTTGGACATTCTTCTGGATAGAGCTTCATGTGAATGTCTCCCATTGTTGTGTTTAGAATCTGGATCAGAACAAGAAAAAAGAAAAGGATGACAAAACAATAAAGAAAGACTAGAGATTTATAAGTAAAGCTCCAAATCCTTCAAAAAAAAAAAAATAGAAAACTTCATGTTAAAATAAAATAAAAGTTATAGGTTATCCAAAGAATTGTATAAAATTTTATATTACCTGAATATAGTCAAAGGGATTAGAGCATGCAGGATCTTGATACTCAGAAAATAGGTCAGAAGCATATCTCCAGTGGGAGATGTAGTTAAACACAAACACTTGAGGATGACAAAATTTTTAAGGGAAGAGGAGAGAAGGCTTTACCCACTCCATATTACCCATCAACCCTTATCTATCCCACCTCCTTTTTGTTATTGCTTTTTTGTTTTTTTTAAATAAAACATTACCTGATGTAGATGTGTTGCATATTTTTTGGAAACATCTATTATAGATGAGTATTGCAGTTTTAAGAAACCAGAGGAATTATAACCAGTTATGTGGTTTTTGCACATATGCATGTTTTAGAAAGGAGACCATACTGGAAAACATAGCAATGATAGCTTACCACGTTGTCTGGTAGGGATGTTGTTGCTGAATTTCCTAATTCTGACACAGCCAAGAGTTCATCTGCAGGAGGTTTTTCGTTAAACACATCTCGTCCCTTAGTGGCATCTTCAGTCTCTTCTGGCTCTCTCCGACTGGTTTAGGCAATATCTTGTATGAGAATTAGATCATAAACACTAAACGTCTAAACCTCACCTCAAGCTCTTACGTACAAGGCTATTAGATGAGCAAGATCTACAAAGAACGACATTGGATTCATTGAGAACGTACCTAAATAAATACAGTCTGTGTTTTTTGAATGCACAACATAGCAAAGTTGGATCTATCAAGGGGTCTTTGCTTTCATTAACATTAACAGCAGCCGTAGGTATCTTTCTTGCTCTTTTATTACTTCGGTCACCTTGATACAGGGCAATCCTCAAGAACCTGTCATTACTTTCCACCTTACCAAGAATTCGCGACACAGTATTGGTGTGCAAATTTACCACCTGAAACAAATTTATTGAACTGAATCTCATAAAAATACCAGCATAACCACCTAATAAAATAGTAAATAGCATCTACAGCATAAACTTATGACATACTTTAATACCAAGGAGTGTAGCATAGATAAGAAAGTTTGAGCTTTCATCAAATACTGCATTTGGTTGAGGAACAGCCTCTGTTTGCTCAATTTGCTTTTCAACAGCCATTCTTCTTCCAAAATCAATGGCCTCCAGACGATACATAGGATTATCACTTCTTTGTAGATCTTGAGCCACCTAAATAAGAGAATAGCATTACCTCAGTAGAGAATTAAGAAACACAGGTTTAAAGTAAAGATTCAATAAACTAACTTAGGAGATTTCCCACTTTAACCCTACCTCGAGTGATTCATCATAAACTCGCCTCAATTTACCAGTCCTATACCAAAATACACGTATCCTGCGATCAGGTGAGGTAACAGAAAATTGCTTACCATCAGGACTCGCCTAAGGAATGAAGCATCAATTCTTAAGTCAGCTTAGCATAAATAAATAAATAAATAAAACTATGTATCTCATTCATCAGATCTACATTATCTTTTTAAGAACATAGATAAAGCATAAGCAAAACCCACAACACCATGCACGACTACAATCACAACCAAAGTTAATGGGGGCCAAAAACAGTAATGCTAATGCAGATACAAATATTAGAAGAGAGATAGTACCTCTATTGCAGAAACTGTTGTTTTACACTTCACCATTTCCAAAAGATTTGTATCAGTTTTCAACTTGAAAGTGATTCTGCAAGTAGGGAATAAATTCTGTCAGCTACAGCTTTCAAGATTCAAAGCTTGGGAGGAAACCTTCTCTGCTATAAAGACTACATGAAAAGTACATTTCCGTTTACATGCATACTATATGCAAAAGGCTCATAACATACAGAAAACCGAAAGCTTCTAGCAAACACTTGAATTTTATCATGTTACTGGTCTGGAAAAGGGGTGGGGAGACACCATGCATCCAATAACACTTACTCTTCTACTAAGTTCACGTTCCCTCCCCCCCTAAAGCCACTTCTTGATTCATGACTCTCAAGTCAGAACATTGTCATATTAGAGATGGAATAACAATATTCAAAATCTTCAATTGTGCTAACTTGTATGCTACCAGACATTAAAATACAGGACATGATGAGTGCGATACACCATACAAACTAAAGTGTATTTTTATGTTACCAGCTACTGACCCTGTCCCCTATGGTATAGATAAAATAGCCAACTCATTTAAGACGTTTTTGAGAGAGAGAGAGAGAGAGAGAAGTATGCTGTGTTTTATTTTAGATCTAGTTGCTTAGATGCATTCCAAAACTATTCAAATATTGGAACACACTCGAATACAACAGGGATATCATAAAAACAACTGAAAAATTACATACCCATTCTCAGAAAAATCAAGTGTCACAGGGTCCCAGTACTCAAATATTCCCCTTGTATCTGCAGAAATAACGGCATCAAATACAGGGTTGTATTTCATGACTTTCACCGGTCCAGCGTGTACCTTCCAACAGAGGAGTTCACGTTAGCAAAAAAACATAAAAACTACTGGCAAAAGAAAGGAATGCAAAGTTATGTTTCTTTATAATTCTGCTTTATCTCCCCCCCCCCCCCAAACCCCATATCCCTCGTGTCATCACCCCTATCCCTTTGATTATCATAAGCATCACATTAGCAATTATATATACCTTTTTGGAAATGATCGGTTCATTATTTCCAGCTCGCACATCATATATATGCACAAATGGAGAGTCCCGATCACTAATGGCCAGCTTTGCTTTAATATCTCCTTGTTTGTAAACCCACTCAACAGCACCCGGGATATATGGTAAACGAATCATGACCATCATGTCATAGTTCACCACATCATACACTTTCACAGAATTATCACTGGAAATTGTACAACAAAGCAAGCCATCAAAACTAACCTGCAAAATGGATTAAGTCATGGCTGAAGACAGTATAAAGCTTATAATCCAAAGAGTTAGCAGTGAGTCTAACAATATGTAAACAGCAACAGCACCTGGGATATATCATAAATGTATACAACAACAATATGATGAGTCGGCTAACATGACTTATCACAAGTAACCATATTTAAATGTTGATTCATGTCCACACACAGACACACAGAGCTAAAACTAAAAACCATACATATAGATTATGGAAATATTAAATGCTTATGGCAATGCCAATGCATATACAAAGTATTTCTTTAAGAATTATGACAGTGCCTTTAAAATAAGAATGCAAAGGCAGCATTCAGAGCTTTTCAATATAAGCAAAAACATGGAAGCAAAACAAGCCAAGATACAAATAGATGAACGAAGAGCACAGTAACTCACAGCTAATCCTTCGATGGGCCCCAGATGAGATCTAAAATGCTTTGCAAACTCAATGCCGATTGGTTTCTTCTTCCAAAACTTCAGATGGCCTACAGAAAATGATACAATGAGAAGGATGTCAATAACAATAATGATAAATAATTTTTTTTTAAAAAAAAGCCCCTTAATTTTGATGAGCTGGTTGCTAAAACACGTTGAATCTCGCGCTTAATTATAAGAAATTGCAAGATGAACTTAGTTAACATAATGCATATGGAAAACCCATATAAAGTATTAACAAGCTAATAAACATGACATAGAGCATAATTGAGTATGAATCAGTGATGGGAACATCATGATGGAATTAGATTTGAGAACACCAATTTTATATTGAGCTAAAAAAAAAAAAGAAATTTTTCTGGACAAACTCAAAAATATCATTAAAATCAGCGCAGACCAAACAGTTTTCTTGTTTCAATATTCTTCGACAGTTCTAAATCAAGTTCAATGAATGACTAAATGGCAACATTTTATCAACAAATTATGTAAGCATTCCAAAATGAAATACATAGTACACCACTACATTCCACACACTAGGTTAAACACATCAATCACCAAGACTGTGAAGGTCGCATGGTCGCATACTCGCATACAATAAAGTTTAAACCAACTTTTGCAGTAAACCCAAGACAGACTTAATCGCTATGTATTTTGATTGACCTATAAAGCATTCATTTGCATATTTTAATATTCACTTGTTAATTTGTTATTTTATTGCCTTGTCTTTAGACTTTAGGCATTTCTTTTTTCTCTTTAATTCACCCTTTACGTGCTTCATTGAGTCCAGTCCCTAAAACATCCCCATTTCTCAATAAATTTTAAGAATAGCTGTACGGGCTAAATACAACAAAAATTTTACCAATTTCTTGCACAGGCAGCATGAAATTTAGACTTTAAACATAGCACTGATAGCAGTAATCCACATAAACAACGCTACTTGTATATAGAGGCAAAAATGTCTATTTTGGTTGATAAATATTTCTATTACAATATTTATTGTTGAGGATCTTAAAACCGCGACTTTGCTTCTTTAGAGAAGTTTGTACAAACCTTTTATTAAGTCATCCACGACTCCACAAGCCACCCTTTGGTACTGTGAATGTTATCTATTTACAGTTGTTACTGTCATAGCCTTATATTCTAGATGTTTGGCTTAAAGTAACCAATACTCAGGCTTATAAGAGTAGCAGCTAAGAGACACCTAAAACTAAACTAAAGGGCAGGAAATATCAGGTGATGCCTAGATTAGCGTTTACGTATTTCCTCTGTAACAATAAACTTATTCATATTAGACACCTCACAGCTTTTACAATCCAAGCTAACCCAAACTAGAATCCAACAAAAACAACAACATAATTCAAACTTTCAAAGCGCATCATATAACAGATTGAAATCCAAAGCAAGCAAGGCCATTTCACTCACCATCGTAACTTCCGGTTATGAAGAAATCAGCACAAGAAACCGCGACATGGGTGACCACATCTCGATGCATATAACTCTTCTCATACCTGCTCAAACGCAAACACTCGCATGGTAATACCCCCCACCAAATCACCATCAAACACCCAATTCAGGTAACACAACCATATTCAAGCAGAAAATTAACAATTAATTACACTGTACACATCAAATTAAACCTCAAACATTTGAAAATTAAGAATATACCCAAATTAAAATCACTGAATTGCATCAAAACCCCATTTTCTCAGCTAACATACCCATTTCACTCGAATTTTAAACAATCCCAAAAACCCCATCACCCCAATCATAACAAACTTAAACCACATTATAAAACATAAAAAATAATTAAAATTAAGAACAAGAACCCTAAACCCAAAAGAGGAGTGAGAGAGATTACATATTGGCGCAGGGAAGAGAATCGAGGTAAGCATGCTCAAACTGAAGAGGACGTTTAGGGCGACGTTGAGGAGGAGGAGCTGGGCCCACCGCCACTTCCTCTCCTTCTTCTTCTTCAACTCCTCTAACTGCTGCTGCTGCTTTTCCATTGCTGGGATTAATTAACTGGGTATCCACAACTTCGGTCAATTTCCCATTCTCATTCTCAATTTGAGGCTCCTCCATTAATCTGTGCTCTTGTTTCTCTGTATAACAATGGCGGTTGAAGTTGGATTTGAGGTTTCTGGAGTTCGAGCAAATTTCACTTCTTTGAAGGTGAGATTAAAGTAATGAAGAAGATGGTGTTATGGGTTGTGTAGTTGGGCTAATGTCCAATAAATTGAGTAAGAAATTTGGGCTTTTTGCAAGAAAAATATTGAGCCAACTTTTTGGGTTTTGATGGTGTGATTTACTTGTATATAATTAGTACTGCTAAAATTGGTATGTTTTCATGTGGCCACATTCTAGGCATCTAGCATGCCACTTCAAGATTAAGATGGCCTTCTTAGAGCCCACATCCAAGTCTCAAAACTAAACCTTTCCTCTACCCCTTCACTCACTATGAACTAGTTATCGCAAATTTGATAGTGCACTCGGATGCACAATTTTCATAGTGCACTCAGAATATAGATAAAGTACGAGGAATGTGAAGTCATTTGCCTATGTTATTTGATTTTGAATTGTATGTTCTTTGGATTCAAATTCGTTCTTTCACTTTATATTCTATTCATTATAACCTGTGTTCTTTCATAAATGTAGAATAGTCATTTTCTTAGAGTTTGGCAATATCTTCATATGGTTTGAACTACATGTACTTTGGCTTGAAGTATATATACTTTTTATGTTTGAAATGTGTGTTCTTTTATCCACATTATTTTGCATTTTGCCTGTATAATCTTGAAATTGGTGCACATCGAGTCTTGCCTTGTTACTGGTGAGTAGAATTGTCAATATGAGAAGTTGAAAACTATTCATCAATACTTGAAGTCACATGATATGACGCTTGATTATGTTGAACACATTAATCTTAACATGATTTAGCCTGATCCATATACACCTGATTTGACAACTCTACTAATGAGTAATTGAACTTTGGAGTATTTGATGAGAAATGACTCAAATGAGCCATGGAACGTATAGGAGCAGCTATCATCAAACTCTATCCTTGCCTTCCATCTCAACTTCTCAAGCAAGGCTACATTATAAAGACCATAAACTCTACATACCTACGAGTTGTTAAGAAGTATGAGTAGTAGTATATTAGCACTTGATTTTGGAGTTTTTTGTTTCCTGCACAAGGAATGTAACACAGTACATTAAAATATAATATGCAGACTGTATCAAAACATGTATACATGTCCAAATGAAGAGCATCCATTAGTTTAGTAATTGGTACTAGTAACAGAGAAGAAAGGGAACATAAAAAAATGAGAAAATAAAAAAGAGTAAACTCACATACATTCTTAAGCTCATGCAAATGCATTTACTATATTACAAGAAGATTTTTATATAATAAAGTCAAATCTTGATTTTAAAAAAAATTACATGATTAACAACTAAGTCACTAATTAACATCTCCTAGATCTTAGCTATGCGTCCTTTCATGCAAATAACACTAAAGCAAATCACATGGGAGGTCCATTTGGACTTTGGGCTAAAAACAAAACCTCTTTATTTTATAAAATGTAGTGATAAAACTTTATAATTAAATTTCCATAATATAATCAAATAAAAATGGTTAGATGATCCATCAAACCCAAATTAACTGGCATTGGACCCGGTTTAATCCTTGGCACGGCGTTACCGACCGGTTTTATCGGCCCAATTAAGTTGAAACTTCTTGTTGTATTTGTTTATACTCACCTTGTCGGGATCCTATGTCTCCTCATTTCCAAACTTTTTCATTGACTTTGATGCTATATTACACCAACACCATATGCTTTTGTCACTAATCATAATAATAATTCTACTACTTACTTCCTTTGTATTTTATGATTCATACTCTTGCGTTTTAACTATTGCTATTGTAGTAAGGAGGGCATAGACGGACATTTTATTGCTTGTCATGCTTACGTTTGTAATGTCGTATTTCGATGTTTCATGTTGTTTAGAGGTTATGTTCTGACCGATTATTTACGCCTTTTTTTATATCTCGTTATAATGTATTTTTACTGGGGGGTGATTTTTATCTATAACAATAATCATCCAAAATATATAACAATTGTCTCAAGAATGTAGATGAGAGTGCGTGATTACTTGTTAATAACATCTAGCTAAGAAATAAAGAAAATAGAGGGATTTTTTTTTTTTTTTTTTTTTTTTATAAATGTACTCTCCCCTTCTCATAATGACTTTAATTAATTGGCATATTTGTGAACACAAAACAGTATTGACCTAAATGACTTTAAAAGGCAAGACAAAAGGGATTTGTAAAGCAAACACCCTAGCTCTAATTGACCTACTTTAATTTAATAGAGTAAATACAAAAAATCACAAGTTTAATCATTCTAAGAAATGATTGAAGTATATTATATGAAGCTGTATATAGATCAATATATGTTTGCTTTGTATATAAGGTCAACTTTGTACTTAAACAAACTACATTTTTTCTATATTTTTAAGAGATGTTAACAAAAAGTAAATTGAAGTGTATATGCATGTATGCTGGTTGCATGTTACTACATGCACAAATCTTGACTTTCACAGATTTAATCATACATTTATATGTATCTGAAGGAGGATACATTCAACGGTGTGTTGTGATGTATTGTGCTATATATTATGCGAAAATAATAAAACAAGGCAAACTAGTTACAATGAAATAATATACGGAGTACACTAGTACAGGGTAATTAGCAAATCATCTTCTTTTTGCAATCCAAATTGGATGAGACTCCGTTTGGTAGGGTGTAAAACATTTTCAGTGTAAAATGAAATTTTATGTACAACATTTTACAATAAAATGTAAAAATACATTGGGAAAAAAAAGGTGGAAGGGAAAGGGATAGGACGGATAGGAGGAAAGGTAAAAAATTGCTAAGGAAAAGAGAATAAATGAAGGAAAAGTGTTTTCCTGCCATTTCAAAAGGAAAATAAATTTCACTCATACAAGAGCTTTTATACTTTTGATGGAAAATTGTTTTACATCTAAATAGTGGAAAAAAAGAGAAAATGATGTAAAACATTTTACACCCTACCAAACACAGCAGAAGGAAAAAAAAATCTCATAAAATAATGTAATAAGTAAAAAAGAATGGAGAAAATAAATTTATTATAATTATTTTTTATGGGACATATAAAAGAAGGGCCCCCTATAACCTTGTACTTACATGAACAGCCGAAATTGTGGAAAGTTTGGTTTAGCTACATGCATATATATGATCAAACATTTGACCCAATCTACCATGGAATTTTGCATGCACGTCTATTTTCATGAAAACAATATTTAGTCCTACTCATATTATTATATAAAGCATATTCATGAAAAATCGAAGACACCATTCATATGTGGCATTTATTCATTATTTCATTATACCCTACTTAACTTAATTATTCTTAGCCTAGCATAGAGACAACTAGTATATATGCTAAGCTATAATATGAATTTAACAAGGAAACATCACTTGTCTAACGATAACAAAGACAAGTAGAGAAATCAAATCTTTAATTTTGTTTATAAATGTTTGTCTTTCTTTGCCTCAAAGATTATATCTCTCGATCAAATATTATCAGATAATCACAAAATAATATATTATATATATATATATATATAGTATCGATGTGGCCTAATAATGTCATCATAAAAATCTATTATAGCTCAATTATACAACAACGGTTGAAGTAAGAATTACGGAGTATTTTTTTTTTATTTATTTTGAACGGGAGATGTAGTAAGTAAAAATTATTGAAGATAGCATTTGGACATCATTATCTTCCCCTTATGTGGTTCCAATGGATAAGAAAGCTAGAAATAAAATATTGTGTTAGAAATCAATAAAAAGAAGAAATTATGTACTAGGAAACCACTAGTAATAATGAAAATTATACCATTCCATTAAAAATATAATTTACCAATATGTTATCACTAATTATTCACTAATAATACTCCACAGGTGTATCAGGACAACTATCATCCGAAGCAACCTCCCTACCACCGCCGCTACAAACACTAAATGGCGGCGGTACATATGGTGGTTTCATGCACCGTAACAACGCCCAATTTACGTTGCTAAAGAACGTGTGTTGTTTAATAGGTGTAGCACCCATTACCGAACCTAACCTCCTGGTCGGATCCTTAGCTAATAGTTGTGATATCAAGTCCTTTGCTGAGCTTGGGATCGTGGGCTCTTTAGGAAATTCCAATGCCCGAGCCACAATATTTGCTAATGTCATCTCATTATCCGAACCTTTAAACGGTGTCGTTCCATAAAAAAGCTCGAATATAAAAATGCCAAGTGTCCACCAATCAACCGCGCTTCCATGCCCTTCCCCAGATACGATCTCCGGGGCTAGATACTCGTGGGTCCCAACGAATGACATGGACCGAACATCTACAGGTTCGGCACAAAACTCTGGCTCGAACCTACGCCCGGGTTTTTTCTTTGTTTTCCACTTTTTCTTTCGGTTCGGATTAAAACATGATACAGAAGGGACAATGCAACTGGGTATGATGCATGAAGAAGAGTTTGAACTAGGGTCGCGACCCGTACCAAGTAGGTTCGGGTGTTGGTTCGATTGTTGAGAGTTTTGGTTTGAAGAGGAGGTTATTATCTGTGGTGTAGGAGTAGATTGTTCATCACATTTTAAAGAGAGATCAAAATCTGTGAGCATAATGTGGCCGTCCGATCTAACTAAGACATTTTCCGGCTTTAGATCACGGTATACTATACCCATCATGTGGATGTATTCCAATGCTACTACGACCTCTGATGCATAGAACCTGCATAAGATTAAGGAAATTATTAGAGTGCTAACGTGAAACAACAATACTCAAACGGAAATGTGACTACTTTTTTCGGACTACCCCATTAACACGCATGTGTGTTAGTCACTACCATAGTGTTAATGTTATTTAAAATACTTAATTATAAAGGGTTGAGACAGTATGATAATAAATTTCAAACCTATGGTTAGCATAAAGCCGTAAACTAATCAAGGAGTGATAATTTGACGGAAGGTTGGTGGGGCAAAATTTATGGTCTAGAGTGTAGAAAATGAAAGTGGGACAGTGTTTAATAACTACATATACTAATCAAATAAAGAAGATTAAGTAGTTGACAAAATTAGGAAGGGTGGTCTTTGTCTAACTTAAGGGTCTAAGAACTTAATTATGCAAACCATATGGTACAATAATTGAAAAGTAGGAAACTTCTGCTACTAAATATGGGTAAAATGCTAGTTGGAATGATTGCCTCTAATAGTTTGTCCTTGTAGCAAATTCACCTCTAGGAAGAAGAGGGCCACACAATGAACTAATTCATATCTAACACAAATCAATGTTAGTTAGGTACGTGATTTATGAGGTTTTTAAGGGAGGTTTGTCTATATCAAATAATTTGTTCCAATATATTAAAAAAAAAAAAAAAAAAAGGTTTATTAAGTGTACAAACAAAAACAACATTGTCATTGGACCATATCAGGTTTTTTTGATTGGGTAAAAGTGTAAAACTATAGTGTTCCTATAATAAGGCAGTCATCCAGTGGCCACGTAACTATTCAAATAGCACTATCTACCTGGTAATTAACGATAACTTTAAAGCTCTTTCTATCCCCTAATTTTCGAACTGTATATTCTATCGGAATATCATGCTCTCAAGTGTATAAAAGTTAAAAATATCTTATAGTTTTACAGTAGATTCAAATTTCACATTTCAGAATTCAAATTTCACATTTCAGAATTCAAATTGCACTATGACAAATTAAGGAAAAATGAATAATAACAAATGATCAACTAGTCAATAAAATAATTAAGATCAACAAAGAAAGGTAATCCTTAAAACATGGAGGAAAAGAAGAAGCAAACAAGCATAATACGACGACCCTTTTTCCATTAAACGTCAACTCTAATTGAAATACAAGTAATATTTACAAGGTATGGTTAGTGTAGCTTAGCAATTAAGAGAGTAGGCATACCAAATTAAATTAAGAGAATATAACTAAGAATAGAAAAGGCAGGAAAACAGGGCAAGAATCCTTGAATAAACAGAGAGATATCCCACTTATCCCGGCAAAGTTCCGGGCATATCATGGGGTGCGGCTGCCTATAAACTAGGTCCATAATTGTCTGTTTAAAAGGTTGCTCTATGAATAAGACAACCATAGTTTCCTTAAATCCTTGATTCTTCCTAGTTTTTGTCTGAAAAAGCATGTTGTATACAATAACGTATTATGTATCGTACTATTGTCGTATCATACAGAGTAAGTTTTTAGCGAAGCATAAACATCTATACATTTAATTATGTAATGCAATTGCTCTTCATTCGTTGAACTTGCAATTCCCATGGGCCATGGCTTCTTACAACCAAACAATAGCAAGTGCATTAGGAAATTGAATGGATAAAAGAGCTAAGAAGTCACTATCAGTTGTTTGGTTCAAGTAGAAGTACATATAAGTTGTAGAAAGTTATATTACCGGACCTTGTATGGTTGACAAACTCGAAAATATTTTCCATAATTCCCATGAAATGAAAATATTGCCATTTCTAAGGAGTGCAACTTCATATTTCTTACATGCACTACAACAAACCACTTAAATTTCAAACTTTCTATTTCCATTCCAATTCCCACCAAGTATAATTGAAAGTTGCAAGGCAGGCAAAAATACAATTTCATTCACTTGTTAGATTTCAATTTTATCTACAAATGACAAAATAGAGCTAGCTGTGCTGAGGATTTAGTACAAAGCTTTGAAAATTAAAATACGAGTACACTCCAAAAAATTAAATTTTTTTTTAAGAAAAAGCAACGTGGCAAAATCTAAGTGGACTGAAGAGCAAAGGTCAAAATCAATGAAGAGCTAAAAACATGTAAAGGGAGCACGTAGGATAAAACCTTGTAAGTGTTTCACATGATCTCATCCCCTAAAAACTGTATTAAATCGTCTGAAACTATTATTAATTCACTAACATTATGTGACACTGACCAGCATTTCTTGGGACCCATTCCCTGACAGACACGTATATCCATCAGGTGGTGGCTCCCACTCTTTCACACCATTTCCCCTTCTCCATTAACTAATCCTTTCATATATTGGGTCCCTTAGAATTTGAAAAATGCCAAAATTTTGGGAAATTTTTTACTTATACTGGAGTATTAACAAATCAAAATCTTAAGTAATTTAAACAATATGAAGAAAAAATTTATTAAGTTTTTCTTCGGTTGGGTTAATTAAGATACAATTTTACTAGTAATAAGAATAATTAATTTGCGGCTGCTATTGCAAATCTTAGAGGTTGATGCACGTGGATTACGGCCTTCAACTAGTTAGTTCAAGCAAAGTGGATCAATTAAAAAACAAGGCTAAAGTAAGTCTTACTACAGAAAAAGTTTGATAAAAATAAGTTCAATCTGATTGGATAAGAGGATCGAGTAAAAACAGCACATTTTAAGCTACCATCACCATCACTAATCCCTTAAAATGATATTTTCGGATATTATGTCAAATTATGGGGCACACAACGTAATAAATACTTATTTAAGGTTTAATGATTATCTAAAGTCTAATACATCTTCATAGGGACATAGCATCATACTAAGAGAAGTTGGAAAAATGTTACAACAACGAATTTATGAGGGAAAATAAAAAAGCTATTCTTATCTTGCATAAAGAGGTACATTGGAGTATTGGACTATCATTACTTCATCACGTAGTGGAGATATGAAGTTATGTTACAAATCTCTAATTTGAAGTTAATTAATCAATTTCATTAATCTTTTATTTGCTTTGTATTGTTTAAAGCTTCTTGGTGATTGATGATATAAGTATGATCATCATGAATAAGTACACTTTCCAGGACATTGATTACAAAGCTCATTAGTTTGATTATTTAGTAAAATTTACAACCACAATTTAGGGAATTATGTAGGAAGCAGTCTCGAGAAAAAGATCTCCTAGCTTTATAACTTTACAAGAAAATCTAATTATTACATTTTTTTAACCCATTTACCAGAAAAATTAAAGATAAAATTCTAATTTTCATTTATAATGGAGTATCAAATTTAATTTACTATTCCCTTCAGTTCATAATCCCAAATGGTCACATTATTCACATATTCTTTTACTTTGTATTTTTTTTTAGTCAAATTACATGATTTAATCTTATACAATAGTAAATGCTAAGACCGTTTTAGTTACGATTACAGTTATTACACATATTGGCGCGTGATTACTTATCAAATCACAATATCACTTAAAATATCCGGATTATATTAACCAATAATAGGAAATATAAAAAATTCAACACATGAAAAATCCACAAATAAGGTAAATGTTTGGAATGACTTTGATTATTACCAAACAAAACCAAACATATTGGCATTAAAAATCATATTATACACTTATGCAGTCATATTACTCATATATTATACCACTTGTAAACCAAACGACCCATTTAAGAGGCGGCATTAATAAAAGTGTATGCTAATTTAAGGGTAATAATATTCAAAAAGAAAGTTACTAGAGTGAAAATAAACAAACAAACAAAACAAAATTTACTACTTCCAACACAGCAACACACGAGGAGCAATAATGACAATAACGTGGGGAAGGGAAGAAGAGTCCGGGAGTTAGATTAATTAATTTAATTAATTAATGACAAGTCCGTAATTAAGTAAAAACAAAAATAAAGATTTTAAACGAACCTGACGGCAGAGTCTTCGAAGCGTTTAAACGGCTGACGTTGACGGAGAACATGAAGATCACCGCCATTACAAAACTCCGTCAACAAACACGACCATTTAGGCGACTCGACACTCGCGTAGAGAGTAGGCAGGAAGGGATGATCAAGCATTTGAAGAATCTCGCGTTCAGCCCTAGCACGACCATGTTTATTACGAGCAGCAAGTTCGCGATTATCCATGACTTTGGCGGCGAAGTGGATGCCATCGTTGTCTTTGATTTCGGAGAGGTAGACGGCGCCGATGTCGCCGGAGCCGAGGCGAGAGAGGAAGCGGAGGTCGGAGAAGGAGAGAGAAGGGAGGGATTTGACGGCGGACCAGCGAGGGTCAGAGGAGAGAGAGGGGGAGGGTTGGGGGTTGTGGTGGTGGGAGGAGGAGGCGGTGGTCCAGGTGGTGGTGGTGGTTTCGGAGGAGGAGGTGCTGCGTGGTGCGGTGGTTGTTGTGGTGGAGTTGAAGCTCATGGATTGGAGATCGTCGGTGAGTTCATCGAGCGGTGGGGTCCATTGTGGTGGGGGTTGGGGTTTTGGGTCCGGTAAGGGTTGATCCATGGAGGAGAGAGTGAGAGTGAGAAAGAGAGAGAGAGAGAGAAAGAGAAAGAGAGAGAGGGAGAGTTTGAAGGAGGGTGTGAGAAATGGGCTGGGAAATGGGCTTTTTCAATGGGTGAGGGAGTGGGGTCTCTAGTTTTTGAGCTTTGAGCCTTCGTGGGGGTTTTCTTTTTACTGCTAATGATTTCTACCAAAATTAAATAAAGGAGTAATCCTTTTTTTTTTTTTTTAAGAATTTAAGGAATGATTGTGGGTTATTTTTTATTTAGCGTATTTTGTGTGCAGCTGGTTACATCACGTGACTTTATGTAAAAACACAAAACAATCCCTATAACATTGACCGAGTAGTCTTTATAACACTGACAAATTAACCCTTGTAACATTGACCGTGTAATCTATACTCAAATAACACTAACGAAGTAACCCTCCATGTGGCCAGCCACATCTAAAAGTTGGTGTTTTTTTTTTATGTTTTTTTTTATTTTGTTTACTAAATTGTGTTTTTCTATTTCTCAACAGTTTCATATCTTGGCATTCTTGGGTGATTGGGTGTTAGGATTTTTGTTTAACAATAGAAGCGATTGAGGAGTGTAATATTTTAATGAATTGAATAAGATTGATGTGTAAAAAAATTTCATGTGGGATCTTATTTTATCACCTTATTTGTCAAATATGGGCTTGTATCACACTCACAACAAAGAGAAAGATAGTTCATTTCACAAGTCTATGAGATTCCATAATTTTTGTAATACAAAATCAAAAATATTAGTGGTTAAAGATTGCATTGAAGTTTGTGCAAATAGTAATTACAAAGAACTTTCGAAACGGAAGTAGTAATTTTTATTATAACGCAACCAAATACATTAATAGTTTAAATTGTACATTGACAAATGTAACTTTTAGTGTTACAAGTAATACAGGGTGGATATAGTATTACTATTATTTCATTTAACATCAACAAAGCCATAATAAAATGACATATCTTTAAACAAATTACCACATACTCCATGTATAAAGTATATTCAGTAATGATGCGAAAACTACCTAGCAATATAGAAATTAGAGGTGAAAGCTCAGTTTGCAATGAGGTTTATAGTTTAAAATGAAATCAAACCGTGTTAATTCAGTTTGAGATTTTTCAAACCGCACCATATCATATTATTATTTGGTCCAAACCAAACTACGTCGTTTTAAATTCGGTCTAAAAAAAAAAAACCAAACCGCACTGCAATTTTCGGACTTAGTGTTTTGAGCTTTGATTTGTAACTTTTTTTGGGCCTAACTCAATATAACTTATTTTTGACCTCATATAGTAAGTAGGGTTGAAAATCAAATTTAGGCTACAATTTAGACATGGGCCTATATTTCGGTTTGGTTTTCGGTTTTTCAAACCCTAAAACCGAAACTAAACGCAAACCACAATTTTTTTATTTCTCTAACCGCGCTGAACCATATTTAAAAAAACTGAACCGAATTACTAATTCAGTTTAGTTTACGATTTGATTCGGTTTTAAACCGTATTAGTTTCGTCCTAATAGAAACTACGCTATTCAATGATTGTAATTTTGACGAGGAAACCAAAAGCCCCGTACCTAGGCAGGAAAATGTGATTGTTGTCGCATGGGTAAGCGTAAGCTTTTAAAATACATGGCTATAATTTTAAAGGTAAGTTGACAATGTTAGGCTAAATGGCTAAAAATGATCTTTTAAGGTACAGACTACGGAGTAAGCTAAGGTTCATCCAACAAATAATAGAATAGATCAATGTACGTTATACGGAGTACTCACTAATTAAGAATAATGCATTGTTATTGTTGAACCGCCATGAAAGAATTAGTGTACTGTTAGACCTACAAAGAAGAAGCAAGGATGGTGCTTTAAATTCTTTTATTATCAAGTAAATGAGCTCTGCAATCTCTAATTAACTACTTTTAAAGTTGGACGACGACGTAGCTTCAACGCTTGCCAGAAATTTGTTTATGTTGGGACTTGGAATTAATACTATATATACTTAACTCATCAAAATCTTGATTCATGAATTATACAATATACTACGGAGTACATAGAGTATTATTGAGATTATACATACTAACGTCTAAATTACTCCCTCTATTAATTTCACTTCAACAGTTATAATTACTTACAAATTTAAAATGTTTTAAGTTACCGACAAGTATACCATACACATATTAGTAAAGAGTTGATTTGAGTCTAGCAATCAAATGTATGATTGAATTGTTTCACTGGAATTGTCTCATTCATCATGTCTCGAAAATTTCAAATTGTTATAAATGAAATTTAATCAGATGATAACATACAAACTCGTGTCAAACAAGACATGCATGCATGATTTCTTTCATATAAAATATTGTTTACTTATCTTTGATTTAGTATTAGTAAAAATTATCAAAATTGACTTAATATATATTAGTAGATACAAGTATATATTAAAACAAATTTATTAAATTAGAAATATAATGTTGCATTTTCTTACATAGGGTAAATGTTTTGTTAAATATTATATTGATCAGTCAAACTAGCAAATTAAATTTAATCAGATCAAATTAACGCATGATAATTTCGGATCTAATAATAATCACCTTGTATATGCATATATATATATTAGTATAGTACGTAAACACATGTACTATTGGCAAACACACATATAAAACTTAGTAATTAATGCTATAAGTAAATAATAGTAGAATGGACATACACAATAATAATAACAAAAATGTACATACATGGATCATAATGTTCACGTACAAGTGAGACAATTGAGAATTTGAGACTACAAAGTACAATACTCCAATGTATACAAATTTAAATGGGTGATGAATATTTAACTTTAAAACCCTAAGTACTTTTTCACCAATATGTATAAAACTATTTTACTAAACACTAGCAAATACATCGATCAATCTTGACTAGTATTCGTAATCAATTGGACCACGTGATTGTTACCTTCAGTAAATTAATTCAAGTTTGGATCGAAATTGGGGTGGCACACGCCCCACATACACATATACTACATATATCCGTATCATAACATTAACGTTTGAAAGTCTCTTATACACCAAACATTTATTTGATATTTCAGTATTATGAAAAACATGATCCACAAATAATAAAAATGAGTATACTGAGTAAGCTGGCAGTTGACATAAAGTCAACTACCTTCTTCTTAAGTCTTAACTACCAAAGAAATCTCTGCCATGCAAACTTATTTTGAGCACACTGTTCATCATGCATGCATTATGTATACATTTATCAAATTAATACTGTAGATTTTTCGTACATATATGATCCAAAATATATATATATATATATATAAAAAAAAAAAATATATATATATATATATATATATATATAAAAGGTTGCCAACTACCAAGCCGATTGCACTGTTCCCCTTTAATCATACACTTAAACTACTCTCCTCCTATCTTTTGGTCTCCTTGTTCCCCTCTTTGATAGATATACTATATTGAAAATGTCTAAATGTGCGTTTTAATACACTCACTATTTGGCTAGGCTTTTGTATAATGATTAGCTAGAAAGGTATGTTAGATACGTATTTATGAAATTACAGAGTAGCTCATAATATTTACTCGCTCATATAAACATGTACATACACCTTGGTGTATCAATCAGTAATAATTTCGTATGTATTGTGTCTACGACTCTACAATGAGTGACTTTTAAGAAGTAAAACATAAAATTTGTGATACAGTGCTTAAATAAAGTCTAATTTTGATCATAAATTTCTCTCACTATAAATATAAATTTCATTGTTATATTAAAAAAAAAAAATTACAAAATATATATAATGGCTTTTGATCAAGTACTTCTAGTTATTTGGCTCGTAAGGTTCGAGTATTCAATTTCCTTATATCTTACTTTCTATGGGGCATGAGTTTGCTCTTATGACCTTGTCAGTAGAACTACATAAAGATAAAAAGGAGTATGAATGGAGAAAAAAAAATGTAACAATTTATAAAATTACATGAGATAGTGTAAGATAATCTAAAATTATCACACTGTTTTGAACTTTATTTCATAGTGGTATTTTATTATGACCGGAAAAGTGTAAGAGTACGACACTTTTTTACAAAATGGTCTGAGTATATCCTAACGATTTTACATAAATTGAGTTAAATATGGAGCATTAGAATTTGCTGTGTTATATAACATCAAGGTTTTAAGAAAATGAGCTAATGAGAGACATTATTTAAGTTACATTTTAATGTAAATCAAAATTCAAAAGTAAATGTTAAGTAATACAAGGATAAGGAACAATTATCTAATCATGATTCTAGAATTGTAACTCTTGAACATTAGCAACCAAACAGCATGTAATTGACAGCCATGCTGAAATGAAAGTGAAACAAGCCTGTTGAAAAATATTCAAGTGACAATGGGCCTGTGGATCTTAATAAGAAAACGAAGTTAGGGGATAAATCGGATTATAATGGAAGTGGACCTGTCCGTTTAACGAAACTGGTTTTGGATTTCGATAAAATGATGACAGATTATTATTGGGCCACAAATCTACTTATATTATGGTGATGGCCCATAATTTGAGTTGATCCTGTGGGGCCAGGTAGTGACTAGTGAGCTAGGGTGTGTATTTTTATTTATTTATTTTTTAAAATGCATGGATCAGTTCATATGGACAACAAATCAACAATATATCCTTGTCAATATGGGCCGTTATAAACTTATAATACTCCTAATGTTCATGAGCTACTTATCCAAAAAAAAAAATCAATATCTTTAAAGATCTTAAATTGGAGCAAAATGTTTTGATACTAGATAGAATTTCGTGTGATGCACGGTTTTTTCATCTACGTTTTTTAATTATTTGATTTATTGTATTTAATAATTTCAGACAAAATTACAAAAGTTTAATATTTATTTTTTTACTATAATTTATAATGAATTTATTAAATATAAATAAATTGTAAATATGATATTTTTTTCCGTTATATAAAAATCGTTAATTTGAAATGATAAATTTTTAATAATTTAAATCCTAAATCCTCTCTTCCTATACTGTAGTTCTATTAATGTATGTAAATTTCAATTCATCATTTAGTACAAGTTACTCTTGTAAGTGAGTCAAAGATACGTGTCAAATATGCTCACACGGTCACACCTTAAATTTCTATTGCATTATTAACATATGAATACAAAATTATTGGCATTTTTTAACATTAATTAAGGAATTATGATTCCTACTTGAGAAATTTCTTTGTAGCCCAAAGAATTATCTTTAAAAAAAGCTATTAGTATGCTTAATAGTTTTTGTGATCGACTCAAGTACTCACAATCACCTCTACGGCTCTACATCACACTACTTCTATCCGAATTTAAATGTCATATTACTAGTCTAATTTAAACCGTAGTCATGGCAAAATTTTAATATACCGATGAGGCGGTATAGCTTAATTTGAAAGAGATCTATTGTACGACCAAATTGAATGGGGCACCCACTATTTGCGTTGAAAAAAGACACCCAAAAAAAAAATCAAAGTGACCGATGACAGCCTCTCACTCTCACAGGTATCTTGTTGCAATTTTTGTCTCCCTCGCTTTGCTTTTACCCCTTTTGCACTGACTCTCCTCCCATCTTTCTCAGTTATTACACTTGAATTTAATCGCAACTATCTCAACTATTTCTCGTGATTTCTCCATTTCACCTTTCTTTTCTTCTCCTACTATAGTTTCAGCACGGACCCTTTACTTCACATCTTCCTTGATTCAAAACTTTTCAACTTCCCCCTTTTTTTCACCTCTTATTAACCCTAATTTCCCTGTTTCCTCAGTACCCATCTTAAAAAAAATTCAATTTTTGTTGCTGGGTTCTTTATTTCTGCCGATATTTGGTGTTGGGTAAGTTGTATTTTTCGTTATTTATGCTGATTTTTGGTGGGTTTTATGTATATTTTAGAATGGTAATTGCTTTCTCTGTTCTTAGTGGAGGTTTTATGGTGTGATTTTTGACATTGGATTTGCTCTTTCTATGATTTAATTGATTAATTTTTGTCCTGTACTATGGGAATTATATCTAATGTTGTGAATAATTTGCGTAAAATAGACTTTTTACTTAATTTTAATTTTTAATTATTGATTTTTGGGGGAGTGGGGTGGAATTGCTTTGTTTCAAGAAGAAAGCTTGTGTTCTCTAGGTTAGTGGAGTTCATGTGTGACCGACCCACTAAAACATGACCTTGATGTTAGATATGTTGGTAGAAGTCAATTTTAGAAGTTTAAGAATAGGTGTTTGATGCTGAAATGAGTTAGCTGAGTGGACATTATGGTGTATCGGCAGCTAGCAATATAGTGATTAGTGAAATGAAGCTGGGTTTTCGTAGCATTCGAGAGTTCATGCTCACGCTTGCATCTTCGTCTTCGTTATAGTCTGTTTAATCTTTATTATATGTAGAACAGCTATTCCATTTAGAGGTAGTTGTAGGCTAAGTGAATTATGTGCAAGGAAAATTTTGACGGTGCAAATTTGAAGTTGTTTCTTGTTGAAATGCTCCTTGTTTGATATAATGGAATGGAAACAATTGTTTTACCGTCCAAAAGCTATTGCTTTAGATATTGACTTATAGTTGATGTAAACATGGCATGAATGAGAGCAATGTTTAGACTAGTTACAAGTAGTGTGAATCTGATGAACTCTGCAATACTTGCAGGTTGGTGTTCCTCGTATACATGTCGCTTAACAGATGGATGTTTGTTGTGGCTCATTTTGAATTGGTAGAAGTAGCTGTTGTTGCAGTTATATCTAACGCACAGAGCTGCTTGTTCTAGCAATTTCCTCTTTCAATATGATGAAAGAGCTCTCTGGAATTTCTTTGGCATGACCCTTGCTTCTTGCACCAATTTATCTTTTGGATACTTCATCTGAGATGGGTTAGTATTGAGCTCTCTGGCTATATTTTTGTGTCATTTTTGTAGACTTGAATGATTATATCAAAGATGGATACTTTGATTGGCAATTGCGAAATTGTAGAGGTCAAGGAAGAACTTAATATGAATGATAAAGTGAGAAAGCATTACATGTTGAGGCAAGGACGTGTTTATTCCATTGAAGATGATATCAACCAGCTATTTGACTCTGTGAATATAAAGACTTCAGTAAAAGGGAAAGCCTTACAAAGGAATCCTATGAAACGGCCCATTAGGGCTAATTCTCCACAGGCATTGGGTATTGGAATTTCAGAAACTGTAAATCTGAAACAGGCACTAAGGGGATTAAGTCTCTCACAAGCATCGGAGATGGCTGCCTTGAAAAAGCGGACGCAGAAACCGAGAGGATCATCTGGAATGTCGGATGTGGGACCAAGTAACCAGTTACACAAGACAGTAGTAGTCCAAGCGAAGGGATCTGAGCTACCAACAAATGAAGGCAAAAGAAATCTCGTAGAGATCTCTTTTCCTGGTAAAATTATGGCCAATCTCTCTGAAACAATACCAGAATTTGTTGAAGTTAGCTCTCCAAGTTCATCAAATCAGGCTTGCAATCCTTCTACTTCATCTACTCATACAGACATGACAAAGTTGAAGATGGTCAGAGTACCATCACAGGATAAGATTGTGCCTTTGGCATCAGAAGTCATAAGTGAAAAGTTTAGTACAGATCAGGTTCAGAAAAATAAGCTTAAAACTTTACAGGGGATGCGTACTATTAAAAATGTTTTAGAGGTAGATGACTTAGGTTCTGCCCATGCAGATAAAGATCAGTGTCGGACAGATGCATTGAATAAAGAGTCGTGCCTAAGGAGTGGTGTCGTTGGTGACAAATTTAAGCATACAAGTAGCAGCCCACGTCTAATGAAGCCAGCCTTTTGGAACAAGAACTTAGTCAAGAGGAAAGTAAAGGCAGAGTCTGATTATACCTCTTGCAAATCTCATGCAGCTAAAGGAATTGTTAATACAGATTCGTGTAATCATCCCAAGACTAGGGAGCTGGTTGGCAAGGAAAGTAGCATTTCTTTGAAGCATGAGGGTAAAACAAATGAGAAAATAACTCCAGCGTCTAATAGTGGCGTTGCCTGTGCTGAGCTCAGTTCAAGTGGTCTTGATGCAAGAGTGAATCAACTATCTGTTGCAAAAGCTGATGATGGTCCAAGTGATGAAGGTAAAGCTGGTGGGAAATCAAGATCTAGAGAGAAGGGGGAGTTTTCTCAAAGTTCAAAAAGTAGCATTGGTGAGTTTAGTAGCAGCACAAGCGAAGAGAGCAGTACAAGTGGGTCTAGCCGTTGTTGTAATAGGCCACATATGTCGAAAGACACAAGATGGGAGGCTGTACACTGTGTTCAGAAGCAGCATGGATTCTTGAGTTTGAGACATTTTAAGCTGCTGAGGAGGCTTGGTTCTGGGGACATTGGAACTGTCTATCTTGCAGAGCTTGTGGGCACTAAGTGCCTATTTGCTTTGAAAGTGATGGATAATGAATTTTTGTCTCGGAGAAAAAAATTGGTACGAGCCCAAACTGAAAGGGATATCATGCAGATGCTGGATCACCCATTTCTTCCTACACTGTATGCCCATTTTACTACGGATAAGCTCTCGTGCTTGGTTATGGAGTATTGTCCTGGTGGGGATTTACATGCTATTCGGCAGAAGCAACAAAAGAGGTGTTTCTCAGAGCATGCAGCTAGGTATATCTTGTTTATTCTGATTCGCTTTATGATGTTGCCGTTCAAATTTTTTAATCAGAGTAAACTATCATACTTGCAACCAGTTAATTCTCATGTTGTGTTTGCCTATTTATGAAGTGATTGCTTTAGTGATTCTTTTAATTAGCATCTTACCTACTAGATTAAATATCTTTGTTTCATGCCCTGGTTAATTTTGTCATGAGTGCTACATTTCCCCTATATATATATACCGTTATCTTGGGTATCTCTCCCGTCTTTTTTGCAACGAAGTCGCCTATTTTTTTGCTTCTCGTGTCTGTTTGATTTTATACTTGAGTTTTGTCTCATAATGTCAACCATGACCAGGTTTTATGTTGCGGAAGTTCTCCTGGCACTGGAGTACCTTCACATGCTTGGAATTGTGTATAGAGACTTAAAGCCTGAAAATATCCTGGTCCGAGAAGATGGGCATATTATGCTATCTGATTTTGACTTGTCCCTCAGATGTGTTGTCAATCCAACACTCTTCAGGTCTTCTTCACCCATTATTGAGCCTGCAAAGAAGACACCTTCCGGTGTATGTTCTGAATCTAGCTGCATTGATCCATTTTGCCTCCAACCATCCTGGCAGATGTCATGCTTTACCCCGAGACTATTAACTGCTGCATCAAAAACCCGAAAGGTCAAATCCGAACAAGCTGTTCAGGTTACTCCATTGCCACAGCTTGTAGCAGAACCAACTGAAGCCCGCTCCAATTCCTTCGTTGGGACTCATGAATACTTGGCTCCTGAGATTGTCAAAGGGGACGGTCATGGGAGTGCTGTTGATTGGTGGACATATGGGATTTTCTTATACGAGCTTTTATATGGTAAAACACCCTTCAAAGGATCAAGTAATGAAGAGACGTTAGCCAATGTGGTATCACAGCCTCTCAAATTTCCAGACACCCCTCTAGTTAGCTTCCATGCCAAGGATCTGATTAGAGGGCTTTTAAATAAACAACCACAGAACCGTCTGGGATTTGTGAGAGGTGCTGCAGAGATAAAGCAACACCCTTTTTTCGAGGGCTTAAACTGGGCTTTAATACGCTGTGCTGTACCCCCAGAACGACCCAAGTTCCGTGATGTTAGTAAGGGTCTCTTTTCAAGCAAGAAAGATACTAAAAAGTCTTTGGGAGTTCAAGGCAATGAGCTCATCGACTTTGAGCTATTTTAGCCACTGCTGTCACAGCAGCTGAAATTGTCGCGAAAAGTTTTCCCGGTTATTTCCCACAGTGAGGTAGTTAGGTATCTCATACATGTAACACAAGCATAGCTCCTAATGTAAATGTAAGAAATTAGCTATATAATCTATGGAAAAGGATTTTTCCTTGTTCATGCATATCAGGATTATCAGCAGATGCAAAAAGCTCCATAATATCGGGTAGCTGGTGTACTTGAACCTGTTTCTTTAATCATAAGTTAGTAGGTGAATAAACTAATCATGGTAGGTAATTAAGGAGCTTAATCATACCATTTCATAATGGTGAAAGTATAATTAGGATGAGCATGAGATAAGGATCTAATCATGCATGCCGTTGGGTTGCGTTAAGGCATTCATAAAAAAGCAAGCCAAAAGTAGACACATAGTCAAATATAGAAAGCATAAATGGTGGTTTGCTAAGAATGGTCTAGCTTTATGCAAATGATGGCAAAACCTAACAGATAAAGAAAGGACAGTGAATTGAAATGGTGGAAAAACTTTCCTCACTCACAAGTTTCCTTTGCCCTTTTTTCCTGCAACTTGTAGTTGAATTGTGGTTTAAAATTCAAACGGGTAACACTCACAAAGTCGGTTATAACAAGCTAGAGGTGTAAATGAACCACAATTTCTAAAGCAAGATTTAAGGCAAATGTCATTTTCTCTAGCTCAAGAATGACAAGAAATAGGGAGGGAGTTGGGACATGAGGAGAAATTTGGGTTGGTGACATTAGTTGGCCAAAATATATGTAATTACACCACGTGAAACAATGGAATTTGGTGAAACCGTGAAAGTATTACCCATCATTTCTTATCTTTTGAGGCATGATAAATGGTGTAATTTTGTTTAAGAATATGTTTATGATGATTAGTTGGATCACGTGACTCCACTTGTCTAAGAAAGTATCAGAAATATTGCACTATTTCTATTTAGAAAAAGAAATATTTGTGTTTACATTACAAATATCAAATATACCCTTACTTTTCAACACTTGATTTTTTAGTTTATATATACCATCACATGGACAATCTTGTATTTTTATCTTTCTCTCATCCTTTTTTCCCACTACCAAAAAACTTGTGCTATGGTGCAATAAAAAAAGAACGGAGGGAGTAAGTTATTTTAGTAAGACATTGGGTCAACTATAATGTATTGTTTAAACTGGTTGCTTACATAGTGATACAAATTCCAATGTTGGATTTTGGATACTTAACTACACAATAACCAACTTATGAGCAAATAAACCAACAATTAAAAAAGAATTGTTCAGATCAAAGAAAGCCATAGAATTGAGTATGCTTGATGTAGTAAGAGGACTTTAATAAAAAAAAATGGCTTTTAAGCCATATAAATTCTTATTCCTAAAACCTCTAATCTCCCTTCGACTAAGCCACGTAATACATGATAAACTTTTTTTTCTTAAGGCCTAATATCATGCTAAAGTATTCACGCATGTATAAAAGAGTAACACAATTTTTTGAACCGCGTTATTTAGTTAGACCTATCCATGCCAGTGCCTAGCCAAATTTTTAAATAAAAATCATAAAATATGACACACCATGTCTTGTTAACCACCCCAAAACTCATAGCTGACATCCATAATAATCCCATATTCCCAATACAATCAATTTGAAACAATGTTGGGTTAAACTAGTTGATACTTCATACTAGGTATATTGATTAATAGGTACTATGGTTTAATGGGCATCATAACCAATTAATCATCCATCCATTCTTCCAATTTCCATCCAAATTTCTCATAATGGTTCACTTCCAACCCTTTATTGAACCCAAGATCACTCGATCATGTGAAAAAGCCCAATGCAACCAACATGACATCAATTGGTCCCACCAATCAATTCACAAGCCACAACAACAAAACTAACAAACACAGAAATATGGATAATCCATATTATAGACCAATCCAAAACCTTCAAAACCCCAAAAACACCATCAAATTATTAACACAACACCTTTCTTCCAACCCAGAAAAAAATGCAGGCCTTGTACACTAACACCAGAGTGTTGGCACCAACTGTAAATTCCCAATTTTGTCATTCCACTCATTTTCTCTCTCTTATTCCTCAATACCCTTTTGCTCAAATTTCATTCCCATCTCAATTCTCTCTTCAAAATCTAAACTTTACTGGTAATTGCTCATTTAGAATCAGACCCATTATCCAAGCTTCTTCTTCATCTTCATCAATGGCTTCCTCTGAAACTCCATCTACTGAAACCAAGCCTTTCTCTGTTCTCTTTGTTTGTTTAGGGAATATCTGTAGAAGCCCAGCTGCTGAGGGGGTTTTCAGAGATTTGGTTAAAAAAAGAGGGCTTGACTCTAATTTCACCATTGATTCTGCAGGCACCATTGGTTATCATGAGGTAATATTTGGAATTTGTGTTTAGTTTGAGCTATATTTGATGATTAATTGATTATAAATGGGTTTTTTCAAAGAATTTGTGGGTTTTTGTGTTTGAGTTTTTGTTGTTATTATTTGTGATTTTGAAGGGTAACCCAGCAGATTCGAGAATGAGATCAACTGCAAAAAGGCGTGGGATTGAGATAACTTCAATATCAAGGCCAATTCGGCCATCTGATTTTAGGGATTTTGATCTCATTCTTGCAATGGACAAGTCTAATAGAGGTGACTATTACTACTAATTACTTGTGCTACCATGGTTCGGATTTAGTTGTTACATTACCGGTTCAAATTACGCTGTCAACGTGATTACATGATAATTAATTTGGGACGGAATGAGTTTTTTATTTTGTTGAAGCTCTTTGCCTCTAAGCCTCTTTGTGTGTTTAAGGTGGTTCCAATTGATTTATGTGTGCTTTTATTGATGGTTGTTTGTAGCTGACATACTGGAGGCATTTGATAAGTGGAAACAAAGAAACAACCTTCCTCCTGATGCTGATAAAAAGGTTAAAATGTTTGTCAGTCATAATTGAACATTTTGAATGTTTGAGCTCATAAATTAACATATGATTGAATTCTCAAATTGTGATTCCTGCTTCAATGGCAATCTAGGTTAAGCTAATGTGCTCCTATTGCAAGAAACACGACGAAACTGAAGTACCAGACCCTTATTACGGTGGACAACAAGGCTTTGAAAAAGTAATGCTTGATCACTTTACTTCCCGTAGTTTGATAATGCATTATAAGCTCACATTTTGCTGGTTTTTAAATGTTTGAACCGTAAATATTAAGTATATAAAATCAAAAGTTCTATTTCTGATTGAGTTGGCGAAATAAGACAGCATTAATCACAGTCTATGATTTTGAAATTGCACAGCATGGTGAACTTATAGGAACTGTTAAACATATAGTTTACATCATGCCCTAGCAGTTAGATAATGAGCTAGGGCATGATTATGATGCTCTAACAAGCTTATTTTTCTTTCTCAGAACAGCAAATTTGCAACTTAACACTTGCAGCTTAGCCTCGTACTTGGCCTGAGATTGATGTATATAACTTGAACTTCACATTGTTTTCTAACTTTTTCGCAACCTCTCTCTTTGTCTTGGCACCTTGTAGCCATTCCCCATGTGGCACACTCTTGTTTTCTCTTCAAATAACTAAATTACTGACCCTCGTAAGTCATAAATTTACTCCCTTTCTTCCATAATAATCTACCGCATCTCTAGTTTTATTGTCCCAACTCCCAACATATAGGCTACTTTTAGGACTAGGTATATAGTTAAAGGTCCTTTTGTAATTCATATATAAAAGTTCCAAAGATTCACTGCATTGTTAGTGGAGATGTAAAAGTTTAAATTATAGTTCCTGTCCTTATAAATGTGAAAATGACTCAATTTAAACGTGGCCTGTCTTATAGAGGCAGAAATGCAGAATGAGTATCACTAAATGTAGCCAAGTTCTGGGGCATGTAGTTAGTCTCAAATTCAGAATATTATCTACCTCCCTTTGCTAGAGATCCTTAGGATCGGTAAAGCTGTTAGTGTTGTCTCTTGGTGTGATTGATTCTTGCCTTTGGCAAATCAGCCATCAGGCAGATATTCATATGATTTTAACCACTGCCTTTCACTTTTAAGGGATGGAAAGTTGGTGTGGCTAGCCTCGGTTTGATTGTTATAGTACGTTTATTTAGATCATTAGTTACTGGTGTACTCTGACTGCACTGTACAGTCATATTTCGTTGAAATCTGATTTCTCTTTGTTGCTTGCGTGACACTCGTTAGATTGTTCTTTATAGGCTTCATTTAGTTTCATTGCAACTCCTTTGTCATGTGAGGTTGCTTGCGATTGGTCAAGAGATAGATAACGTTACACACTTCCCATTGGACCCATTCCATTGATTGTCAGCAATCTTTGTGATTGAGGGGGTTGAAGACAAAGAACTGGGCTACTTTATGCTATGCATTCTTTTTAATTGCGAAATAATATGAGAATTGAAAAAGAGAAATGCAAACGTCTATCCCAAGTTTCTCCTTAATTGGCTAATTCTGGGAGGTAGGAAACCAAATAAATTAGGGGGTGTTTGGTTCATTATATTGAAATGGATTGGAATGGAATCTCATACTAGAATGGTATGGATTCTAAAACCCATACTAGCCTAAAGTTGTTTGGTTTAATGTTGGAATGGATTGTATTCTTCATTAATAGAATGGATTGTGAATCTTAGGGGGGGAGGTGGGTATGGGTAGGCCTATACAAAACTATCCGAAAATCCGATAATCCAATCCGCAACCGATCCGAATTTTTGGATATCCGATCCGAGTTTCATTTCGAATCGGATATTCGATCCGAAAAAGCGGATATCGGATGCGGATTTGGATATTAATTTTAAAAAATTTCGGATATCCGATATCCGAAATATAAAGGCTAAAATAGTGAAATATATATAAATTTTTTAAATTGTTCATATAAAACTAACCCTGTATTATTAACTTATTATAATATTCTTAATATATTTTATGATAATATTTATTGCAAAAAGACTATTAGACTACTATTTTGTTAAAATAAGTTGTACAACTTAGCGATAAAAAAAACGGTAAAATTAGTGAAATTTAGAAAGTAATCATAATCAATTTTACTTGACATTAGATAATGGAAGGATCGTAACCTAGCAATCTGATACCATGAAAGAAGTTGTTTTCTTGAATATTCACAGGCCAATAATAAAAAAAAAAATACATAAATAAAATGGATATCTGAAGCATCCGATCCGAAAATTTTGGATATCCGAGTATTTTCGGATCAGATTTGGATATCAATTTCTGATATCCGAGTATTCGGATATCCGATCCGTAAACAGGCCTAAGTATGGGATTTTATAGGTATGGGGTAGAGTTAGAATCCCTTGGGTATGAGATTTTATTACTAAAAAACTCAACCAAACAAAAAAATAGATGGATTGAATTCTAACTCCATTCCAAATGATCCAACCAAACGACCCCTAAGATGACACATTCCCCCCCCCCCCCCCGAAATTTGCATAAACTTCATTAATTGTTACACCGATAAATGTTTGTCAATCTTATACCCACTTCTGCAGGTTATAGATCTTCTCGAAGATGCTTGTGAGTCCCTGTTGGAATCCATACTGACAGAGAGCCGTCAGACTTGAGGATTTCATTCCCATTTTAAGCTTGTTTATACTGTGAAATTAAATGTATGAATGACAGCAGTAGTGATCCTATCATGTTGAGGCTCCTATATGTAAGGAGTAGATTGGGGACGGACCAGAGGGTTCGAGTATTTGAGATTTGACTATGTAAATGGGAAATAAGCTTGTAAAAGGTTGAATTTAGAGATTGTAAAGATATTGATAGTAGACAACTGATTCAGCTCAATGTACAATGTTAAGTCTCAATTCTGCCATATTATACATCATCCCGTGTAAATGTTGTAGAGTATATCAGAGGAAGGTATATAGGCTATAACTGATACTGTTATGAACTCGAGAACTACCTACATGGATAATGCATGATGTCTTAGTACAGGTGACCATGGATGGCTAGGCCATGGCAAAAATTATCCGCCTTGAGCTAGAGTCTGCCTTCAGAATTCTACCCAAAACTGCCAAATTTGATCTTGGTTGCTCTGAGCTTTTCAAACCTTAGGCTCAAATAACTTAAAACAAGTTGAGGTAGCCGCCTAAGCTTAATTTCCCGTACAAAACATCTGCCCAAACCTGAAAAAATGGGCCACATTGATTATGCCAATTGGATGGCGGGGATGCAAATGTTCCATCACTTGATTCTTGTTCCATCACTTGCGGTGGTTACATTAAAAATTTTGTCCTCATCCCTGCTTCACCACCCACTTGAGTATCCACATCAGTTAAATAACCATCTTACTCGCTCTACCAATTACTTTACCCACCCCAAGATCACCTCGCATTACCAATTTAAATTTTAATTTCAACATTTATTATTATATAAAAGCAATACTCGTATAGTCGTATAACAATACACTAATTAGTTAAAATGTCTTTAGAGTTATGTTTTGAGATGTCTATAGATTATTTCACCAAAATGTTACGCAGGGAATCCAAAAGCCATACGATGTTCTACATTATGGTCCCTAAATGTACATCAATACATCTTACAGAATACAGGCTACAACTAATAATGTTTATTGCTGTGCCAGTGGAGATCTCTTCACTAATTTGGAGTCCTGCTTTTAGATAGCCTTGTTTCTTGGAATCTGTTGTCTATCTGCTTGGTTATGCTGGAGTGATTGGCTCAATACACTGCTTAAAGACTATATATGCCGGCTGTATTGTCAAGCCAAATCATTTATTTGGGGCAAAGTTTGGAAACATATCCGTACTTTTATTACAAGTATTTTTAAGTTATGCCACAACATATTTACAACAGAGGCATGAATCATGAAATAGTCATTAGCTCCCCATCTAAATGTGTATTTCAAAACTTAAGTCATATCATACCAATATATAAGAAAATGATGTTGCACAACTGATTTATTATTTTCAATGAAACAACACTTGCTTTGATTCTTGCACTTGAACCAACTGTGTAGGTGGCTACTTCATCCAGCAAAAGGTGCCTAGCAACTCAGACAATGTAACTCCGTTTGTGTCCCTTTCTAGATCGTTTTCTATTCTGTGAGTTAGCACTAATAGAAGAGAAAGCATTAACAAGATCCAAGTCTTCTTCATTTATCAAGATCTTCGCCTTCTGAGGTTGGGCAAGGAGGAGTTTGGCCACCAGATAACCTGCGATAGACCATGTCTGAAACATGCGTGCCTGTTTTCCAATGAACCTAGCTCCCTTTGTGTCATAATATTCAGGCCATCTGTCTTTTGATAAACGTTGCTCAGCAATTTTCACAGCTTTCTCAGCGATCTCTGGTCTGTTCATCTTGATGCAAGCCACAGTTAGCTGAAACAACATTGTAGAACTTCTGTCAGCTGTTGCTCCAAATTAATTACTCGTATAGCACTACTCTCTTATGGAATCATTACAACTTTTTAAAGCACTACCTAAAAGTCTGAAACTGCATGCAAGGAAAATAAGTCTTGAAATGGATATGCTTATCCCTTATCTTCTTACTCTAATTCTATTTATCAGTCAACAAAATATTTGCCCCCTCTATTTCGTCTCAATGTTAATATTACCATAATTATATAGGGTGTCTAGTGTCCTAACTCCAAAGTTACATTCTACTTCAGGCGAGTTTTTCCTCTGGAAATTTCTTTTTCGTACTGTTGGGTGCTGGGATGATATTAACTGACCTGCCAGAGCAAAGTAGGCCATGAACCTGCATTGTGATATGACCAAGGACTGCACAAGAAACAACATGAAACTAAGATCAAGAAGCCAAATTGTGGGACTGGTAAAAAAATGTCAGCAAGTAAGCACATTACGTGTTCTTTGGATCACCTCCTGTGACAATTCGCCACTCTTGGTCTTCAAGGGCAGGATAACAAATTTTGAAGGGCATATCCGCCACGAGATCAGCCAACTTTGCTTCAACAAAATCTAATATGGCATGTGATTGAGTTGGTGTTGCCAGATTGCTTACTATTGACCAGAAGTTTCCGAGTGAGAAGAATCTGAAATCCATGTGAGCAGGTTGCAGGTTTCCTATCAGATACCCACCTTTTTCAGGCATCCACTCCACTAACCATGGTGGGATTTGATCAGGGTAGATATTGAACTTGTTTACTGCATCAAACGAATATTCTTCAGTCTTGTAACGATAAATTTCATTGAGTTTCCTCATATCAATCCAGTAGTACTCCCTGATATGAAATGATAGTGCAAACAACCGACTGTTAAGTGCTCTTATAATTTCATCTGATCCATCTTCAGTAGTAAGCATCTCACGTGCACAGAGCAATGCCGAATAAAACAATGCCTACAAAAGTAGGTAGATGTTGAAAGAATATAAGCTATGAGAGGATATATTGCCGGGGATGAAAATTTTAAGCAAGTACATCAAAATACTACTTATCAGCCTGAATTTTCAAGAATATCAACATTGACAATTAATCCTAATGAATAAATGAAATATGAAACCACCTGAATTTCAAGGGGGTGGCCGTGAATTCCCATACGACGATCTATCATGCAAGAGCCATCAGTCACCAGCAGAGTTGGAAACATGTCAAAACCATCAGCAAGACATAGCTTCAAAATCATTTTCATTCCAGTCTGAACATCAATCCTTTCTTGTACTGAAAGATCTCCAGTGCATTTTCCATATGCTCGCAACATTATAATCCACCAGAGTCCTGAATAGAAGTCATAGCAAGAAAAATAGAAGTAAGAACCAGCTCAAAACCAGCCCTTACTTCAAAACAACTATTAGATCTCGAGAACTTGTACACCAACCAGAGTCAACTGGAGCAACACGGCCAATTGCTGCCTCACCAAAATCAGGATCTAGTACTTCTTCAGTGGCAGAATCATCGCTATCTAGGGCAATAGTTCGTACTTTAAAGCTGGCAGGCATCAGCCCTTGCCCTGGACTATGGCAATCCATGGTTTTCTCCCAGCTCTGGATGACACAAGCCATTATGATCTCTCGTCAATAAGCCAAAAGGAGTATCAGAAGTGACTAAGCATTTTTGTCACAGATAAATATTCCATAGAAATGTGAATATGAGGTTGAAGACTTGAAGCTCTCCTATCTTCATGGTCACATATACCAAATCAACGAATTATGACATGGATTGCAATATCAGGGCATAGAATCTAGCCATACTATCATCCTCTTAATCTCTCTTGCCCCACTCCTCTTATTTCTGTTTTTTTTAAAAGCAATCATAAGCCACCTTCTTCATGAAGTTAGCACGCACAGTTACAATGAAATGTGTTATTTATGCAAAACCACTTACATATATTATGTTATTTCAAGTACACATGTAAACTTAGCCAAGAGTATGAAACACTTATAAAAAAAATGCTGTGTCTGACACTTGAAGCTGTTTGAGTAACATAGTTCATATATATTCAAAAATAAAGAGGAGCAAGGCAATGCCTGTATAATCTCCCGAATACTTCTCATGATAGTTTTTCAAGAGATTGTAAGAAACTCCACATGAAAGATGAGACAAAACTATTAAGATGAACAACTTAAGAGCTTGTAAACAAAGTACACTATAATGGCTGAATTGCAAACGTATCATACATACCTGCAATTGAAGGGTGTGAAGGATGAAGTTCCGAACAATATCATACTCGCCCTTCAAAAGAAATGCTATTGCAGAAGGCACAAAGTCGCGGATGAAGACCTGGTCATAGTTCAGAATACTAGTGGAGGTTGGATCATTAGCTGC